AAAATTGAGAAAACTGGACATAAAACCATATGCCTGTAATCCCAATACTCAGGAAGCCAAGGCAGGAGGATCACTGAATTTTCAGAGGCTAGCCTGGGCTACATAGTAAATTCAAGCCTAGCCTGAACTACATAGTGAGACCTTGTCTCAAAAAACCAAATAAAAATAAAATTAGGAAATTATTCTCACTAGACACAGTGATGTATGTCTGTCCCAGCCACTTGGGAGGGTGAGGTGGGAGGTTTTCTTGAGCCTAGGAATTCAAGACCAGGAAACACAGTGAGACCCTGTCTCAAAAAATAAATAAAATTAAAAATTTTCCTGTTGAGTGTCTTGTCCAAGATGTCAGTTACCTAAGGATTATATTCATTATTTTTATTCAGAGAAAAAGTAAAGTTTACTTGGTATTAGGGGTTGACTTAGAGCATCTAGGTAAGCACTTTGCCACTAATCTACATCCCCAGCCCTTTTAATAATTTTTTTCTTGAGACAGGAGTCTTACTATATAGTCCAGGGTAGCCTTGAATTCACAATCTTCCTGCCTCAGCCTCCCAAGTAGCTAGGATTCCAGGTGTGTGCCACCACACCCAGTCCTTACTAATACTTCTAGGGGTCAGATTTAAATCTTTTAATAAAGAAAATTTGGAGCTAAAGATATAATTTATTCCTCAAGAATGAATTTTCTAGATGTTAAGACTCTTTGTAGTTTTGATTGAGGTATAAACAAAAGCCCTCTATTTTTTGTCAGGCACACACCTGTAATCTCAGAACTCTAGGAGGCTGAGGTATGAAGATAACAAATTCAAGCCCAGCCCGGGTAACTTAGTGACTTAGTGAGACCCTGTCTCAAAAAATAAGAGCTGGGGATGTAGCTCAGTATAGTGGCCCTGAGTTCAATCCCAGTATCACCAAAAACAAGTCCTCTATTTTTTCCTGCTATAATTCATTCTCTTCTCCAGAAGGACAAAGTATTTGCATAGTAATAACCAATTGTTCTACAAATACAGCATTTTTTTCAACGCATTTTCTAGGAGAAAGAGATTCTGACACATACTTTACTGAAATTCTAATGTTAAGTATAGTTTAGTTAGGGGTATACATGAAATGGCTAGCAAATAGAGTTGATTTTTATCTGATTCTTTGATTTTAGGTTTTATTTTATGAAAAAAACTTTAGGACTAGGGATATAGTTCACTAGCAGACTATGTGCTTAGCATGTGTGAGGCCCAGGATTCATTTCCGGCACCACAAAAAAAAAAAATAAATAAATAAATAAAGGGAAGGGAAAGAAAGAAATTTTAGTTGTACCACAAATGTCAACATTTCATTGCTTAATAGAGTTTACATGTTTGTTTTTGATTTGTTCTTAAGTGTACATACCTTTCTCAAGCGCTTTCTGTTTGTCAGGGTAAAAATAATATTCATTAAAGAAACATTTATTGTTATTTGTACCATTTAGACATTCTACTTCAGTTTTTCCCTTCTACCTGTTGCTTGTTTTCTTTGTTATAGGTGATAATTTGTCGGAAGCAGAAGCTGGATCAATTATACATTCAGATACTTCAAGCCAGCCCAGTTTACCCTATTCCTCAAACCAGATGATGAGCTCTCAAATGACTTCTAACATCCTGCAAGCTGACATAAATGTTCCAGGGCACATTTATCCATCCCAACAACTATTAGGACATTGCCAGCAAATTTCAGGGGTGAGGCAAACTGTTGTATTTTAAATATATAATAGTATATTTACCATAAATGGGAGAATTTACCTTTAATCTTTTTATCTTATTTAATAGTTGCAGCCACAGCTGACTCAGCCCCACATTTTACCTGTGGTTCAAGGTCAGTCCAATGTTTTGCCTGTACATGTCCATGGACCTACAGTTCTTTCACAGCCCCAAGTTTCCCCATTAACTGTCCAGAAGGACTCACAGATAAAGGTAGGACACATTTTTAGAGGCTCTGTATTCATTTAAACAAATGAACCCTGCCTAGATTTTTCTGGCAAGCAAGGATTCACTTTCATAAATGCATTATAGTTTATATAAAAGTCACTGAAAGTTAAAAGGTGTTTATGTTTTCCTTCACCAAAGACATTTCCCTTGAAGATATACCTAATATTGTATAGTTAGAATCTTGAAACTCTGCTTATATAACTGAAGAAGCAATAGAAAACTCAGCTTATAGACAAAAGATTTACTTAGGAGTCAGCTCTTTTTTTTTTCCATTTAGTTTATTGGTACATTTTGGGTATACAATACAGTTACATTCCTCATTGGGATCTTGTACCTTTACATGATGTACCTTGGTTCCCATTTTTTCCCCCATTCCCTTGCCCTCCCTTCACCCCCTCCACCCTTCCCTATTTACAAAGACTTTGTTTCCATTTTTTCCTTTTCTCATATTTTTT